CTTGCAGGACCGATTGAAGATAAGAGGAACAGAGGAAAACAACGCACAATGTAACTGGCGAATGGATGTCAGTTGCTGTTTTGCGAGAGATAGAAAAATACATAAGTTCTTAAGAGCTCAAAGGACAGGAAATTGTGGAGAGCCACGGCCGCCAAAATCCTGTAGGGATACGGCAAATAGAAGAGGTATAATTTCCCTTGTATTTCCTATTCCCCGTGAATCGCTGCTTACATATTCTATCGACTGTATTCTCATCATCCTTCTGTAGAACCGCATCCTGTAGCCTCAAGTCTCCTCTAATGAGAGAACTATAGAAAATGACAAAGAAACAAAGACAAAGGTCAGTTTAGTGAGAGCGAGGGAGGGGAAAGAGAGGGAGAGATAGAGAGAGAGAGATAGAGAGAGAGAGAGAGGGCTAGAAAGAAAAAGAAAGGAAGGGGACAGAAAAGGGAAAAGGCAGAAAGTTTGCCAGAAAAAAGAGTGAGAAATGTTAAAGGTAAAGAGAGGGTAATCTAGGGTAAGTAGAGTAAGAAAGTGAGTAGGGAAGAGAACAATGTGTGAGAGAGAAAGATATGTACGAAGAGAGATCAAGAAAGAGAAAACGACAGAGAGAAAAGTGATAAAGAGAAAGAGAGAGAGGGTAATTAAGCAAGGAAAGTAAACGAGTGCTAAGGAGAAACTGTGTGCTTTGCGTATGTAATGCTTGGAATGTGAATAAGAACGAAACGAAATATGAAATGTTCCATGTAAACGTTGGTTTCTGATTTATTGATGGCATAAAAATCAATTTAATCAATGCGAGGATTCATCACATGACTTATTTACATGATGCTCACACCAGAAGAGATAGATAGATAGATAGATAGATAGATAGATAGAGAGAGAGAGAGAGAGAGAGAGAGAGAAAGAATCTGAAAGAAATGAAAAACAGCAATGAAATCAAAGCTAAAAGGAAAAAAAAGAGATATGAGAAAATGAAGATTGGAAAAAGAAAGAAAGAAAGAAAGAAAGAGAGACAGAAACAAAAGATTGAAAACGTAGTGAAAGAATAAACATGACAGAAGAAAGGTGTCTAGCATGAAGTAGGAAGGGAAAAAGGAACGAAACGAAAGAAAGAAAGAAAGAAAGAAAGAAAGAAAGAAAGAAAGAAAGAAAGAAAGAAAGAAAAAGAAAGAAAGAAAGAAAGAAATGAAGAAATGAAGAAAGGAAGAAAACGTAGGGAAAGAAATAAGAAGAAATAGAAAAGGAAAAGAAAGAAAGAAAGAAAGAAAGAAAGCAAACGTTGGAAAAGAAATAAGAAGAAATAGGAAAAGAAAGAAAGAAAGAGGGAAAGAAAGAAAGAAAGAAAGAAAGAAAGAAAGAAAGAAAGAAAGAAAGAAAAAAAGAAAGAAAGCAAACGTAGGAAAAAAATAAGAAGAAATAGGAAAAGAAAGAAAGAAAGAAATAAAGAAAAAAAAGAAAGAAAAACGTAAAAAAATAAAAATAAAAAGGAAGGAAAGAAAGAAAGAAAAAAAAAGAAAAAAGAAAGAAAAAAGAAAGAAAGCACACGTAGGAAAGAAGGAATAAAAAGAAAGAAAGAAAGAAAGGTAGAAGAGTAAAAATTTGGAAAAAAATGAAAAGGTAATTTATCGACGGGGAAAAGAAAGGTGACGAATGAATTAGAAGGAAAAAAAACGAAAAAAAAAATAAATAAATAAATAAAGAAAGAAAGAATGAAAGAAAAAAAGAAAGAAAGAGAATAGACGTGTGAAAAGAATAAAAAGCTCCAAATAAATAAATTTGAAAAAATAAAGTAAACGAAAGAAAGTGAAAAACGAAAAAAAAAACAAAAAAAAGGAAAAGAAAATAAGATTGAAATTAGGAAAATAAATAAATAAATAAATAAATAAATAAATAAAGAAAGAAAGAAAGAAATCAAACGCGGGAAAAGAAATAATATTGAATCGGAAAGGCGAAAAAGAAAGAAAGAAAGAAAGAAAGAAAGAAAGAAAGCAGACAGTGTAAGGAAATAGGAAAGGCGACGTAGAAAGTAAGGTTGAAAGAAGACGTGGGTAAATAAATAAAAAGAAATAGGAAATGCAACGCAGAAAGAAAGAAAGAAAAAAAGAACAAAAGAAAGAAAGAAAAAGAGAGGTCGAAAGAAAGAATGAAAGAAAGGAAACATACGTGGTAAAAGAAATAAAGAGAAATAGGAATGGTAACAAAGAAAGAAATGTCGAAAGAAAGAAATGCCGAAAGCCAGAAAGAAAGAAGACAAAATAGGAAAGGTAACATAAAAAGAAAGAAAAAAAAAGAATAAAAGAAAGAAAGCAGATTTGGGAAAAGGAATAAGAAGGAATACGAAAGGCAACATAGAAAGAAAGAAAGAAAGAAAGAAAGAAAGAAAGAAGTCTTGTGATCTGAGGAATAAATTATTTCTCTTTCTTTTAAAAGATAGGGAAATAAGGAGGTTGAGTAAAAGAAAGAAAAAAAGACGAACGAAAGAATATGAAATTACCATAAATAAATAAACTGCAGAAGAAAGAAAAATTTACAAAAAAAATGGAAATGATTAAAAACTTGACGGTAGCAGCCGATGGAAGAAAAAAATTTAGAAAACAAGAAAAAATTAAGATAAAATACAAAAAAAAATATCAACGTAAATAAACGTTGAATTTTGTCTTGAATATGTTTTCCAAGGAAAGAAAAAAATTACACCATAACATAACTTACTGAATTTAATTCCAGGATTAACAAGATCTCAAATCCGAATACTGTACAAGATCAATAACAGAAAAACCGATTGATTGGGTGATAAACTGATACGCTCATATCTGATTCCATGAGATACTTTCCAAAGCCTAGCATTTCCATCTGACAAAAACACGTACACTGACACTAGATATGAGAGATTGGTTTGATCCTGAGCAAGAATACCAAACCAGTTTTCGCAGTATCTTAGGACAAAAACTGAATTTCGAAGAAGTTGTGCATAAATGAACATAAAGTTGAGATTATGACCAAAAATCAATGACCAAAACCATTCTTTTACAATCAATATTTTCGCGCCCTGAATTGTCTGGGTGGATATCTAAATCCTGTTTTTTTTTTTTACAAGCTACTCCCTGTTATTCCAAACCCCAAGTTTATTTAGTTTTTAAATGGTTTCTAACTCGTTTCTTTATTCCAAGCTGCCCGTTTATTCGATCTACTCTCCTACTTTTTCCGGCGCAACCGACGGTTACAGGGACTCGAGGAATTTTTCTTCCTTGCCCGGGTGCACGCGCTCGGGCTCCCCACATTAAACCGACCTTTTGTCCCAAGGTGACCTTGTGGTGGTGGTGTTTTAAATATCTACTCCCCCTGCTTTTTGTACCGGAAACTAATTAATATTTAATCAGTTATCTAGCCTACTCTTTTATTCCAAACTCCCTTTTTACTCAAGATTTAAGAGTAGACAATGTTCCCAAAACTAATTTTTCTTGATTACTTCTTTACTCGTAGGCACAATATATATAACTCCCATGAACCTTCTCTGGTGTTGAAATACAAAATAATAACAGACAATTTCCATAGTGGACGTACTATGATTGTACTGTTTTCAACAGACAATTCTATCGCAATTAACACAGTCTTTACATTACTAGAACTTGTTTTACCTTCTCGAGTTCAATTATTACGCAAGATTTCGTAACAATGAGTTGGAACGGTTCCGTGGTCTTTACGAGGCTATATCGACATGTGAAGACCACCAGACCAAATTTGACACTTCCCTCACCAATTCCAATTGCCGCCTTGACAAAGTATAACACTGCAAAGAAGAAAAATTTAACACTTTTCTTTATACTGCTGCTACTTTAATACGAGGCCTAAGCGCCACTCCAGGTAAGGCGTTATTGAATAACGTTGTTGTAATCTCGTACAAGGAGAGTAAGTGGTTCGTATTATGATGGTTATGTTGAACCTCGACTCGAAGAGGTTAAGATTGTAGTAATCGGCGATGCTTAATTTCGAGAGTCTGTCTCCAAATGGAGTAATGGATAATGGCTCAGATTGAGGAATTGGAGAACCGAGTTCGAATTCCAGTCGAATCCATTACATTCACTTACGTGCTAATACCCTTGGGAAATGTATGAATCCTCTTCTTCTCCCCACAGCTATGGGCAAATAACAGAATAGACCGGGTTCTATAACGTTGGATGGCAACTGGTCTACCGCAGAAGGAAATGGCAACCTACCGCGGGAAAAAATCTACCTCGTCAGTCATGTATCGAAAGATACATCATCGCTTAAACGTGTATCACTCATGGCACATAACTGACTGAAATTCACTAACGTGCTAATACCCTTGGGAAAGGTATCAATCCTCTTCTCCTCTCCCCAGCTATGGGTAAATAGCAGGACAGACCGGCTTCTGTAGCCTTGGATGGCAACTGGTCTACCGCAGAAAGAAATGATAACCTACTACGGGAAAAATTTCATTTACGTGCTAATACTGTTGGGAAAGGTATCAATCCTCTTCTCCCCCTCCCCAGTTATCGGTATATATCACGCATGGTATTAGGTTGGTGCAAAAATAATGACGTAATAATGTCGTTTTTTGACGTTACGTCAAAAAATGACATTATTACGTCATTATTTTTGCACCAACCTAATACATAACCGATTGTCACCAAGGTAAGAAACTTTCCGAGTGCAATTACCAGAAGAATACGAAGCGGGGCGAGGAGGAATTGACTCTGTGTATGGGGTATGGCGGAGCTTGATGTAAAGGTCTGGATTCGTAGAACTAAGGAGTGTACCTCGCCAGAACATCTACCATAAAATTATCCATAGAGTAATGTTGTGGTGTTCTCCCCCAAAGAGTCTATGCTAGACTCTTCCGCCTATTATAAGTTTAGTAGGAGAGAGGGGACAGAGAAGAGATTGAGCGCTTGTTCATACTATATACACTCACTAGATGTGTCATACTCTTCTGGTGTACTTACTGTTTAATATACGATATATCTGCAAACCTGGTTTTTGTTATTGCTTAACCATTTACTTGGTCACAACAATATATATATATATATATATATATATATATATATATATATATATGCTGTGGTGTCCTCCCTCGAAGAGTCTATGTTAGACTCTTCCACCTACTATAAATTTAGTAGGAGAGAAGGTCCGGCGTCGGCAAACAGTGAACAGTGAATAGATTGAGCGCTAGTTCATTCGATATTCTCTGTGACACTATTTAGGTTTGCGTGAAAAAAAAAAAGCGAGAATTAAATTAGGTGATAAGAATCTATCACGAAAAGACGATGTTATTTTTTTTTCTAACAAGGAAAAGTGATAAAAATTTTATTTTTATTAGCGAAGAAAGTAACGTCGCGGATCTGTCGCCTTTGATTTATGACGGCGCACCGAGTATGGCAATGGTGAAAATTTCAGGTCGGTCAGGTGGCTAACAGGGCAGAATTCTAAGAGATAAAAATTAATTGGGTCGCGGGAAAAATGTCCGCTGGACCACCTGCAGAATACTAGGAAGGAAAGATTAAACCCTTAACGATCTGCGGAGGTATCATTTGAGAAAAAGCATCTGTTTTGTGATAGGAAAATTATTTTATCGAAACAGTTAATTAGCGACAGAATGCAAATACGTCCAGATGACCACCCACTTGATGCTGGCGAAAATCTGATTGACGAGCTCCAGGTGATTCGGTTAAGATAAGAGTCTAAGGATTTGTTGTCGAGAAGAAGAAAAAGAAAGAAAAGAAAAAGAAAAAAAAAAGCAAGATAATTTTTTTTTCTTTGAGCAAGATTTTTTAAACCGAGGCTAGACTAGCCACACCCATACTGCTGGTCGTCCATTGGATGAATGGTGGCGTGAGCGGTAGGCGAAGGTAATCATGTGAAGAAGGAGGGGAGGCTTGTTGACGCCCCCCCCTGAAGGGATCGGTGTGAGATGTCACTGTGAGAGAGAGGGGAAACCCGTTGAGACCCTCTGAGGGTATGGGTTAAATGTATTACCATAGTTTTGGAAATATTACAGTTCCTCCTCCATATTGTATGAGAGCTAGTTCAGAGGATAGAACATCTATGAGACTCTGACTTTCTAGATTTTTGGTGCTACACCCATAAACGGTAATATCGCTTGTATATCTCTATCAATAAAAGACAGGATGTGTGTGTGTGTGTGTGTGTGTGTGTGTGTGTGTGTGTGTGTGTAACGAATGCACGGCCGCAATTTTCGACGGATTTGCACCAAAATCTACATGCACATGCTCCAAGTTAGTGGGAAGGCCAAGACCGACGTTGAATTTCCCAACTCCCATCGATAGTGGAAATATTCATTTTTTCATTCAGTTTTCATGTAGTTTGAGGCCATTTTCTACTGTCCAGAGTGAGAGCCTATAGCTGGTTGCCACGAATAGGCAGGAAGATTCTATTGGCCAGCGTGAGAGCCAACAGCTGACTGACACGAATGTTAACTAGCATGCTAGCATGCAAAAAAATCGATAGCTGCATTCGCCACAAGTGGGAAAAATTTAAATCTGCATGGCACTTTACTCCATTTGGCTCATTGGCTTGTTTAAACTCAGCGTTAATCCTGATTCCGTAGAACTGGGTTGGGTGTGAAAAAGTATTTGTTGTTAACATTCTTTTTTCATTCGGTTTTTCCAGTTACGAGTCTTTTTTTTAAAGCTGATCGTCTTGTGTTCATTTTCTTTAGTTCTTTTTTCGTAACAGATTTAATGTTTAGTATAGAAAATTTGCAGTGTGAGATAGGCAAGAAGTAAGGCATGTAGCAACATCAGCACGGCAAAAGGCACTCCTTTAAAGGCAAGGAAGGGCAAAAATATTTTAAGTCAAGTGATAGCGATTGCTGTATGAGTCGAGTCGAACGATTTTTGAATCAAGTACGGGCAACGCCGGGCCATGCTGCTAGTATTTGATAATTATTTGAGAATGTACGTGGCTTTTTTCTACCGGAAGAGACTATTGATCTCTCTACCCTCGGGCTGTGAGGAATCCAGACAAGGCTATGCTGAAGCCTAGATTCTCGTCTGGGGAGGTAGACAAACCCGACCCCGCGGGGTTTACGGGGAAATTTTTGCCTGAGCCTACGTGTTCGGATTGCTCCACAAAAAACTCGGCCACATCATGACTTGTGGGAAGGTCAGTTAAATTCCGACTTTTTTTTGTCTTTTCAACAAATATTTTCATGGCTACTGTTCTGTATAAGCCTTTTTTCCTCTGGTGCTCGACTAAATGAATTTAAGCATGCCACTTAATTTGGCAATAAGGTCTCACCGTTTTACTGTTGAAATAGTGAGATACAACCGCCACGTCTATTCCAACAGTTTTCTTTCTCGCAATTCCCACCTGTGGAAATATCTTCTTATTTCCTGCTTCCTTGATAAGTACAATTTCGAAAAATTTAAATGCAATATCAATTGCCATCTTCTGTCTTCTTAAACCCTGTTCTTTTTTTTTTTTGTCCTTTCTTCAATCCTCCTTATTCTCAGACTT